ATCTGGTCGCAGACACTTAGTAGCTGTGTGACCCTGGGTAAGCCACTTAACTCTGTTTACCTCAGTTCTTCATCGGTAAAATGAGCTGGAGAAAGAAATAGCAAACCACTGAAATATTTTTGCCAAGAAAACCCCAAATTGGATTACAAAGAATCAGGCACAACTAAAATCACTGAACAAAAAATTTATATAACACTTTAAGGTTTGCAAATATCCTCACTACAACTCTAGAAGGTACATATTATTTTTCTCCCCATTTTACAAATGAGGAAACCAATGCAGAGATTAAGGGACTTAACCAAGATCACACAGCTAGTAAGTATCTGAGGCTAGATTTGAACTCAGGTCTTACTTACTCCAGATCCAATACTCTATCCACTGAACCATCAAGCTAGTTGTCTGATAGCCAAGAGACCAGATTCTATATAGCTGGTGATACAGTCTTGAAAAATATACATCTTTTTTGGACTTTGATTTTTTTTAATCTGGAAAGAGTATCAAATCTTATCCTATCTCTACAATAAAGATATTGTGGAAACAAAGTGAAGATGTATTAGAAAGTGTTTTGTTTTTAGTAATAGTGTGATTTAATATTATTATAATGTCTTACATAAGAAAATCCCCTTCTGTTGCCTCATCATAACTTTGAGGTGATCCTAGATTCCTATGCCAGGCATAAGCTCTGAAAGATCTTACCAAACTGCAAAGATGCACCAAGAGATTACATATCCCAAGAAAGCCAGCTTCAGCAAATTCTCAATAGATTGTCTACAAGGTCATGAGTTTTTGAATCACAGCAACTCTCAAAGACCATCTACTAAATCAGGGGGTTACTATTTGTATTATTCTCTTTATTTTCATTCGATATGTATTAATGTATGTATCTGTTTTCTGTCTTATTAGAATGTAAATTCTTGGGGAATAAATGTTGCTTCATTCTTTATGTTTGCATTCCCCTCACCTAGCACAGAGCATGGAACATGCTTAATATGCTTAATATATATTTCTTGATTGAATGAATGCAACGTGTGTCAGTAGAGGGAGTGTTCACAGCAATGTAATTATGGATTATCTCCATCTGAAACATCTTTCTTCATAGAAAGTCTTGGCTTCACTTGAAATACTGCTTCCTTCTTTATCTTTTTTTTTCCTGTCTTTACCCCCTTCCTTTTCACCCACAACAACTCTCTTTCCTTTAAACTACAGGATCTCAGGCTGCGGCATATTTTTTGAGTCTAGGGAGTCTGTGAAGAACCCCTGGGTATATCATAGCCAGCATAGAAAGGAAATGAGCTTTTGCGGCATAGGTGTGCAATAAGGGACTATAAGGGGAGTCAGTTTAGGTGAGTGGGTGAAGACTACTTGGCTTAGACAGGATGGCATGTTTCTAATCACAACCTGAAAGAAAAATAGATCCACACGTCGCCCAAATTTAAATTCATGTCTTGAAAGGTTAACTTTCAGAAGTTAAAAACGCTACCTCAGATTTCTCTCCTCAAAATCTGTCTTCAAACTTCTGTAATCTGGCTCCTGGCCCAGCCACTCAACTGAAATCACCCTCTAAGGTCTTCCAAAACCTCATCTCAGCCAAAACCAATCATCTCTTTTCTCTTCTCATCCTTCTGGACTTGTCAGCTATATTCAAAACCGCATTCCACTCCCCTCTTAAACACCCTTTCTGGCCTGAGTTTTGGAAACATTGTCTTCTGGTTTTCTTCTTATCTTTGAGTCACACCTACAAAATCTTCCCTGGCTCTCCTCCTGCTTTGCTATATTCCCTAGCTTGCTTTAACATATATACTCCTTTAGGGATCCCACCGAATTTAATAGTTTCCAGTGGTCTTCAGACCTGATGTCTCCTTAACTTTTCAGTCCTATAGATCTTAGTATCTTGCCTCCAACTAAAATTAAACATGGTGAATGAAGTAAGTGAAGTAAAAAGTCTTTACTCCCAACCTGCTTTTTGCCCCTATCTACCTCTTCAGCTTCAGTTATCATTCTGTCAAATCCTTAGAGATAGTTTATACCAATCACTGCCCTTAGTCTTTCATAAGTTTTTATATCATACCATTTGTTCTTCTATTGTGTTTGTTGGATCTGCCCCTTTTTTTCCCTTTCTAATCTCCATTCTTGCCACTAAACATTGTGATATATTGTGATGAAGTCTCACCCCCTCAGATTTGTCTAAAGACTATTTTTTTTTTATCCTCACTAATGGAAATTTAAACCTTGGCCCTACTACCTAATACCTGTGTTACACTTAACCTCTCTGAGCCTCAGTTTCCTCAACTGGAAAATGAAGTAGTTGGATTAGACAACCTCTGAAGTCCCTTCCCACTCTAAATCTATGATTATATCATAGATTCAAAACTCAGCTTATTGTGACAGATTACAAGCCCCTCTACCAGCTTGCCCTACTATGTTACCACAACATGATTTCCTATTTCTCCACTTTCTATGGCCTCTGATCCAGCCAGACAAAATTTTGATCATGTCTGATCTATAGCCCTCCCTCTCTTATGTCTGAACATTTTTTTCATACTTCTGGGAGAACTCCCCTATCCCTTTCCTCCAACCCCCAGCCAACATTGTTCAGAACCCCATTTATATCCTATTCCCTTCCTGAATAAATGTATACTTGGTCTTTATAAAACATCACTAGTTCTTTTCTTCCTCTCCATTCTAATATCCCCCAGCATTTATGTACATAGGGTAGCTAGGTATCATAATAGATAGAGCAGCAGACCTGGAGTCAGGAAGACCTGAGTTCAAACTGGCCTCAACCACTTATTAGCTATGTGACTCTGGGCAAGTCACCTAACCCTGTTTGCCTCATCTTTCTCATTTGTAAAATGAGCTCAAGAAGGAAATGGCAAATTGCTCCAGTATCTTTGCAAAGAAAACCCTAAATAGGGTCATGAAAAATGAGACATGATTGATATAACAACACTGAGTTTACGTGCATATATATGTACTGAACTATTTTTGTGTGTATTTAAAAATCTCACATATTAATCTTACTGTCCATCAATAAATGTGACTATGTCCAATCTCTCCCCTCATTCATTTTTGTTCAAGGTCATTAGAGTCATTTGATTCTGTAGATAGAATATAGCAGGATTTCAAGGCAGTCATTCATGACATCCTTGTATATATGAAGAAGAGTCATAGCACAGTTAATAATATTGTTAGGTGGATTCTGAACTGCAAGAGTGAGGCAAACCATGGTCCCTAATGGGTTGATGTCAACTTGCAAAGAAGTATCTAGCAGAATGACCAAGAAGCAATGTGGTATAATGCAAAGGACACAAAAGTCAACAGTGACCAGGATTAAAAATCTTATTTATTTTTTGCTAAATGTGTGACTGTGAGCAAGTTGTTTACTATCTCTGAGCCTCAATTTTCTCATCTCAAATATTTGAACACTAGGTACATCATAAAGTGGTTAGGAAGATCAAAAGTGATGATGTAGATAGTGTTTTATGAATGCCAGCTATAATTACCCCTATGTGCTGTTTAATATTTTTATCAATGAGTGATCAAAACATAAAAAGCAGATTTATCAAATTTATGGAAGACACAAAGCTGGATGGGATAAAGAATGTACTAGCTGATAAAATCCAAAATTATCTCAATATTCAGTGCTTATTGAATGGATGGGTGGGTCAAATCTAATAAGAATGAAAGTTAAAAGATAAATGTAAACTCTTTTAAAATGACTATGCAAGTACAGCATGAGGATGGGAGGAGGAGATCTGACTACACAACCATTTGTGTGGAAAAAAAAAGATTTGAGAGTTTTAGTGGACCACAAGCCTAATATAAATAAAGAATGACATGGCAGACAAAAAAGTTATGTAGCTCTTAGACTACATTAAGAGATCCATGATGTCAAGAACAAAGAAACTGATAGTTCCACTGCCTTGTTCAAACCATGTTTAGAGTTAAAGACACAACATTTTAGGAATGGAATTGACACCAGAGCACATCCAGGGGACAATCACCAAATTGGTGAGCAGACCAAAGACCATGGCCAAAAAAAAATGGATATGATAGAAGAATTAGGGATGTTTAAAAGACCAGAAGCTCCATAGAAAGGCTAGTTGTTGTTATTGATAATAATAGCTCACATGGACAATGGGCCTACTATATGTTTGCTTTGTGCTGAGTGCTTTAAAAATGTTATCTCATTTGATGCTCACAACAATCCTGGGAGGTAGGTGTTATTATTATCTCCATTTTATAGTTGAAGAAATTGAAGGAAACAGAGGTTAAATGATTTGCCC